CACCCTCCAAAAACCTATGCTCCCATAATCCGGATGTCTCAGTTTGAGATCAACAGATTTGGGTTCGAATCTATCTGATGGCGCGCAAAAGCTGCGTTAGAGGAGAAACTTCTAGCCCGAGTACGGAAGCCGCAGCGAGTTTAAAGCGTAACTGTCTTATGCCTCTCGTTAGACACCAACTCCAGGCAGTTTTCATCTGTAATGCCGAAAAGCTGGCGCGACGACGGGTAGCAGACGGCGTTTCTTACGGTTAGCGGTCTTATGATGCTCTGTCTTGACTTCAATGAATCCGTGTCGCCCTGTAACGTCCAGACAGATCTCTTGAATGAATCTGAGGTCAGAGCACCTGCAACGCCCATGGACACACATAAGCATAAGACAGCTTCTCTTAAAGGGGTCACCTTTCAGCTCTCCCTTGAAGTTCCTTGAAGCTCTTTTCGAAGATCCCTGAAGAGAAACTTCAAGAGGGAGCTTAGCTCCCTTTCGCTCGAAGGCATGGAGTCCATACAGCGTCTCTCAGCACATAGAAGTGTCAGTGTCTCTATCAGTCTCTCTTTTTGCTTTCTTCGCAGAAACCCCTAAAGCGATTTCGTGAACTTCTTCTTCTTTTCTTTTGTGATCGCATTTTGTTTGCGTTTCTAGTTTTGCATTTTATTTCGTTTCGTGTGGTGGCTGTCTTTCTTTTTGGTGTTAGTGCTTGCATTTTGTCCCTTGCCTTCGTCTTGTGTCTTGTTTTTTCTCGCAAAACCTCCCATTTTGCGATTTCGCGTGGCTTCTTCTTCTTTTCTTCGGTAACTGCGTTTTGTTTAAGCTTGTTGTTTTTTTTTCGTTTTAGATTCGCGTGGTTTCTGCTTCTTTTGAGTCTTGTTTCAGTTCAGTCCCCCTTGAAGCTTCCCTTCAAGGCTTCTTAAGCTCCCCTCACGCCCCTCTTGAAGCTTCTCTCCCTCTTCAAAGTCCCCCCTTCAAGTCTCTCTAAGCCCCCTTAAAGCTCTCCCTCTTCAAAGTCCCCCCCTTCAAGTCTCTTAGCCCTTTAAACTCCCTTGAAGTCCCCCTTAAGTCCCCTTCAAGCTCCCTTCAACTCCCTCCAAGCCTCCTTCAAAGCCTCCTCAAGCCTTAAGTCTTTCTTCAAGCTCTCCTTCAAGTCCTCCCTTCAAGTTCCCTTCAAGCCGCCCCTTGAAGTCCCCCTTGAAGCCCCCCTTAAGCCTCCTTCAAGCCTCCTTCAAGCCTTTCGACCCTTCGTCTTCTCCCTTTCCTCCCTTCCTCAAGACCTCCTTAACAGGCGGACCCTTAAGCCCCCCTTTAGCCCCCTTGAAGCCCCTCTTAAGCCCTCTCCGTCTGGAGTCCAGCCCCAAGAGACGAAAAAACCAATTTTTGCTTTGCTTTTTTTGCTTCTGCAAAGTAAGATCTGTTCTTTTTTTTAGAACACGTTTAGTCGTATTTCACGCTTTCTTTGCTTCAAAAAGTGATTCAATTTTACTTCACTTCGTTTTCTTCGCTTTCCAAGTCTTGAATCTGATTCGAGCCTGGGTTCGAAGCAGGGTTGAACCTGCGTTGAACCAGCCTGGCGAACCCTCCCCTGGCCCTTGCTCCTGTAGCTGTAGCTTTTTGGAGTTGCGTGGTCTAAGACTTCTTCGACCTTCCTGAACGGTTGCTGTGTTTATTCGAGGTGGTTTCGCCTTGCTTGTCCCACCGCTTCGACTCTTGGTGTTGTTTGGCTGTTGTATCGTTGGCATCCTTCGTGCGTTGAAGCAGCACTGCATCACATGCGCAAACTGAACGTTGTTATTGATGCAACATTATGGTGCGGCGATGTGCGAATGTTTGCCAATATTAACCAGCCTTTGCATCATGCAAGAAGCGGGTTAAGATTTAGTACATGGGAATCGTGGAGCTAAAAGGATGAGGGGAGTCGCAAGTGCGGTTTGGCGGCAGTTTTGTATGTTTTTTCGTTGGTTCGTTGAATGGATGTTTTTTTTGCCTTGCTGTTCACTTCAGGCACGACGAGCAGACAGGAAGCAAGCACTTTAGCAGTTTGAGGATTGCGGATGGGACAGCAGGCAACACGGGAGAACATAAAACTCACAGTTTCGCTGTTTCGCTCAAGGATTCCCAACGCACCAAGAGCGTCCACACCAGGGCTGCCGACTCAGTCTCCGCTGGATTGTCAGAAGCAAGGGCCAGCTCGAGGTCAGTTGTGTGACTTCACAGGCATGGAGCAGACTTGTGTTGTCCCACTGTGGCTCATCTTTCTTTAGGCCATTTCTGAGCGCCGTTGTTTACCTAGTCCGTACTTAGTCAGTCCAGATTGCTGGCATGGCATTTGGTCGCTCGCTTGTGGCGTTCCTCGTCGCCACATTCGTTGGCGTGACGCACGCAGTTCGCAGCGTTGCCAACATCACGTCGGCTGTGCTCGACGCAAACCCGACTCATGTGAACGGCTTGGGCTTTGAGTGTTACTGCATGGCCGTCAGCTCTGAGAAAGACTGTCCCGACACAGGTGCAGCTGCTTCTCGCCCTAATCAGCCGGACATGCACCGCTTCTATAACCCTGAGGCAAAAACCTGCTGCCTGCTGGAGTACGACCGGAGGACCGGCATGATGAAGCAAGAAGGAAAACCGAGCACACCGCCAGAAGGATACGAAAAACAGTCCGGTTTGGCAATGTGTTCGTCGGACACACGGTCCTTTCCAAGGAGGAGATGCTGTCATGTGCTGGCCGGGTATCGCGAGAGCGATCCCGTGATTTCCTTCTTCGTGCTGAAGGCCACGGTGGTTACCAAGATCAACAATAAGGGAGAGGTTAGCAAGATCAAGCCGCGGGTCACGAAGGACTACGTGGCAGGAGGTAAAGACGAAAAAGAAAATCTGTCGATCGGATGGCAGGACGTTTTCAAGTTTTTAGACGAGATGAAGAATATGGACAAGCTCCCGAACATGGATTGCCTGGCTCAGTCTATCGACGAGATGTTGCATGATGAGAGGCCCTGCCACCTGTACCGGTAGTGACAAGGTTCCTATATAGAAGATGGCCAAACCATGCTTTTCAGCGTCGAAAAGCGGCTCCTGCAACTTGTGAAGAGAGTGACCTGCTGTATCGAAAGCACTTTAAATAATGAGCTCATTGCCTTCCCCGAGGCACCGATCCAGAAACTACGAGGCCAGAAGACGACGCGCGCACCTGCAATATCCTGCAATGCTTCAGACCCAGCCACCCAGCCCCGAAGCCACGCGGTTGGAGGCAGCCGTGCAGCCGACAGGCCGCTCCAAGACGGAGCGAAGCTGTGGCCGCCCCCTGCGATGCAGCAGACGCTAGAAGCACCAGTCGCTTCGCTGCCGCTTCAAGAAGGAGTGACCGACGGGATGTGCAAGGCTCTTCGGCTTTTCTTTCAGCTGGCCTTTGCGAGTGCAGTGTCTTCCAGGCCTATGTTGACTGGAGTTGGCTCACAGCTGTAAGAAGCATTTCGGGAACAAAGATGTTTCGACAACATCTGCATGGAATCGAGCATGACTAGTGGACTTTCAGACATATACATACAGGTTCACTCAATGCCCATGTGCCGAAATCAGTAGGGCAGATGCAGGGACACGCGGGGCACTCCTGTTTTGTCCTTCTGTGCTCACAAAGCAGCGTCTGAATATGCACTTTAAGCTGTAGGCCTCTCGGCGCTGACCCTCATGCCTGCCAGGTGGAAGAAGTGGTGCTGGACAATTTCAAGTCTTATGAAGGGTCTCGCTGGCCAGCTTGTTTCTGAGTCTTCGGCATCAGCCTTCTCCGGTCATGTGTGGACAGGTATCACACATCAGCTGTGCTGCACACTCACTCCATTCTCCAACACAGTTCAGCCTAGGTGTGGTGCACCGCCCTGTGAGTGCTGTCGCCAGGCAGGTTAGAGTGGGACCCTTCAAAAAGTTCACGTGCATTGTCGGCCCGAGCCCCAGAGGTCAAGCTTGTCCACAATGAAGACAAACCCCCAACGGTTGGCCCGAAAGCTTCGTCGTTGGTTTGGCTTTGTGCACGTCTTTCCACTGCAAAGCATCGGTCATGTCGCATAACGGGGACGTTTCATGAAGGCCGTTTGAAGACGGCTTTTCGGCGAATGCTCTGCAACAGAAGATGCTTGCAAAGCGTCATCGTCTTAGGCCCCAATGGCGCGGGCAAATCGAACTTGATGGATGCCGTCAGCTTCGTCCTTGGCGTCCGCACGCGACATCTCCGAGGAGATCGACTGCAGGACCCAGGGAGTTCGATCGGGCAAGGCCGCAGAAGCAGTGACCGGAGCGGTAGTAGCAGTGGCAGTAGCAGAAGCGGTAGCGGTAGTAGTAGCCGTTTCGGTAGGTTCAGCAGTAACAGTAACAGCAGCAGTAGCAGTAGCAGTAGCAGTAGCAGTAGCAGTAGCAGTGGCAGTGGCAGTGGCAGTGGCAGTGGCAGTGGCAGTGGCAGTGGCAGTGGCAGTGGCGTGCCAGTACCAGTACCAGTACCAGTACCAGTACCAGTACCAGTAGCAGTAGCAGTAGCAGTAGCAGTAGTGATAGTGGTAGTGGTAGTTGTAGTGGTAGTTGTAGTGGTAGTGGTAGTGGTGGTAGCAGTAGTAGTAGTCGTCGTCGTTGTCGGATTAGTAGTGAGTAGACGTAGAAGTAGTAGTAGTAGTAGTAGTAGTAGTAGTAGTAGTAGTAGTCGTAGTAGTAGTAGTAGTAGTAGTAGTAGTAGTCGTAGTAGTGGTAGGAGTAGTAGTAGTAGCAGCAGCAGGAGTAGTAGTACGAGTAGTAAAACTAGCGGCAGCAGCAGGAGGAGGAGGAGGAGTAGTAGTGGTAGCCGCAGCAGTGGTGACGGCGATAGCGGCAGTTGCGGTAGCGGGCTCGCGGCAGTGGTAGCAGTAGAAGCAGCGGCAGCGGCAGCGGTGGCAGTAGCAACTGCAGCAATACTGGCAGCGGCAGCAGGAGCAGCAGCAGTATTGGTAGCGGTAGCAGCAGCAGTAGTGGTAGCGGTAGCGGTAGCGGCAGCAGTAGGGCAAAATGACGCGTCATTTTGGTCGTCCTGGTCCCAGGTTGTTCAAGGGGGCGGCCATGCTTTATGGGTAATGTTTGTAATCTTCCCCCTCCGATCCACTTGCACCAGTTGATTGACGGCCAAGATTACCACCTTCCTCCTTTCTCCCGATCCCAAAATCCAGTGCTTGGGGTAGGGTAGGGTTTAGAGGCGCGCCCGGCGCGCTTCGGTTTAGGGTTTAAGGCCATCTAGGGGTTTGGGTTTAGGGTTTAGGATTTTAGAGTTGTAGGGTTTAGCGTTTTTATGATTGGGATCAGGGTTCAGGGTTCAGGGTTTAGGCGATTAGGGTTTAGGCTAGGGTTTGGGTAGGGGTGTAGGGTTTTAATTAAGGTTAGGGTATAAAGTTTCGTGCACCCGGCGTGCACATCGGTTCAGGGTTTGTATAGGGTTTAGGGGTTTAGGGGTGAAGGAGTTTGGTTTTGGGGATTAGGGTGTAAGGTAGGATTAGGGGCACGCCCGGCACGGGTTTTGGGGTTAGGCTTCTGGGTTCGGGGCATTTGCGTTTATAGGGTTTTTGGGTTGAAGTGTGTAGGCTTTTAGGGTTTAGGGCTACGCACGGTTATACAAAGTTTCGGGGTTTTAGTTTAGGGGCTGTGTTTTTAGGGATTGAGGGTTCAGGCCCTGTTTACGGGCTCGCCTGGCACGCTCGTGTAATCTTACATGGCAGGAAGTAGCAGTAGCATTAGGTCAGTAGGAGCAAGAGTAGGAGTAGTAGTAGTAGTAGTAGTAGTAGTAGTAGTAGTAGTCGTGGTGGTGGTGGGGGTGGTGGTGGTAGTAGTAATCGTCGTAGTAGCCGGTAGTAGTCTTAGTAGTCTTAGCTGTCGTTGTAGTCGTTACAGGGATGCAAGTCTCAGCCGTATGTTGAAACTCGGAGCAACTTGTGTTGACAATGCCAGCCATTATAGCAATGCTCAGATCTGCTTCGCAGCAGGATCTTGTGCACCGCCGGGAAGACGACGGCATCGAGGATGTCGCGCAGCGTAGCTGCTCGGTGGAGCTGGTGTGGGGCCTTAGAGAACAGAGGTGTAGTGGAGTGATTTCGATGCTTCTTGACCTGCTTGAACTGGCTAGAAGGACGACTGCTACTCCGTCCTGCTGTAGTCGTCGTCCTCGTCGTTGTAGTCGTAGCAGTAGTCATAGCAGTACTAATAGCAGTAGTAATAGTATCAGTAGCAGTAGTGGTAGTAGTATCAGTAGCAGTA